TTTATTCCCAAATTAACTTACGTACTTCGCTGTAGCCCTCTATGGAATCATTCAGTTTTTTTTAAGTGATTTGGATAATCTTTTAAAAATGGAATCCAATTTAAATGTTCGTTTTGAAACACCTTCTTGGAATCAAGCATCGCTTCCTATTCGCTTTGGCAGATTAGGAGTACGCAAGATAACAAGTGTAGCTCTTCCAGCGTTTCTCTCATCTGCTCACAAATCTAGCAGTCTAGTAGGTAAAATCCTTAGATCTTATTCTACAAACTACGAGATTGCGGATTTAACAGATGCAAGAAACGCGTGGTTAGCATCCAACCCAGGCTTGAGTTTGCCTTCCAGCGTCAACTTTCAAAGGAGTTGGGATGATCCTCTTTGCAAATCAGAATTGCAAAAGTTATTAGGTCACATTTCAATAACAGACCGTGCAAGGTTGGTAGCTGTGGGGTCTAGGGAAGCCTGTCATTGGCTTAATGCTTATCCTTCGCCAAACACTGGCACCCTTTTAGACCCTGAATCACTTCGCATTGCCATCAGCCTCCGCTTAGGAGTGCCCATATGTACTCCCCATAAGTGTTCCTGTGGTTTTGAAGTAAGTACACCATGGCCTACACTGCCAAAAGAGTGCAGGTCGTTTTTCTCGCCATGCCGCGCTAAACGACATTATACGCCGTTCTCTTGCCTCCGTCAATGTTCCAGCAATTTTGGAGCCAACGGGCTTCGCAAGAGACGATGGCAAGCGGCCGGATGGAATGTCTTTGATCCCTTGGAAAATGGGACGGGCTTTAGTGTGGGATGCTACCTGTGTAGACACGTTTGCCCCGTCTCACCCCCTTCGGACAAGCCAAAAAGCTGGGGCGGCCGCAGAGCAGGCAGAAAACAAAAAACGACAAAAATATAAGAGACTCCTCCAATTTCGATTTTGTTCCCTTTGGAGTAGAGACTCTTGGGCCGTGGGGTTCAAGTGCACAGGCGCTTATTAAAGATTTAAGTTGGCGCCTAGTAGATAGTACCGGTGACCCCAGAGCTGGCACTTTCCTGGCTCAACGAATAAGTATCGCAATACAGCGAGGAAATGCTGCCAGCGTTAAAGGTACACTGACACAGGGACCAAACTTTTTAAATTTGTTTTAATTTTAATTTTATTTATTTTCAAATTATTTTTATTATTACTTTGTAGGTTAAGAAAATTGAAAATACAGTATTTTATATGTTTGTTTGTTGGAATTAAATAATTAGGTAATATTTACTAATAAGGATATTTAATGCAAGAAAGTGTGCAATAACTATTTACAGTCTAAATAAAGGGAAGATGGACACTTTAGCCACACCAGAAACATTGATGTCATAGACTTGACTAGAGAGAATAATGTCGATATTGTATCTCTATCTCTTATAAGATAAATATTTATAATTGTTATTTTCGTACAAATATATTTGAGTATCTGTTCCATATTTAGCGTCTATTTTGATATTTGGTTTAATGCTCAATTCAATAATATATAAAAAAACAATTTTTTACCGGATTGAAGTTATGTATTTACAATTATTTTTCATAATTTTAAATTTAACCGACGTTTCGCGTGCTTTACAGCGTGCGTGGTCACGGTGACTGAAGACAAAAGGTGTTGAATGTCAAAAAGTATCACAGCTGTAGAAAAAGTTGTATTATCTGTATTTGTTTCCCCGGAGTTGGTATCGACTAAAAGATGGAGGGTTTTGGCATAAATGGCTCACGGTGTCCTCTTTTTTCGCGGATTGTTTATCTTGAGATTTTAATTTGGATCCCAGGTGTTTGACAATTTTAGGCCGTCTTTTCTATTGAAATTGGGGTGTTTTTTGATTTCAATGGGTTCGCGTACCAATCTTGGGAAGAATCTTATTTCTTTCGCAAGTACTTTCGGTTGGTCAAAGCGTATGTAGTGATTAGGCCTATCCAGTATGTGTTCACAGACTGCTGATTTTGTGTGTCGTCTATGTCTTATGTCCACAATGTGTTCTTTGAGACTGCTGGACATATTGCGTTTAGTTTGCCCTATGTAAGACAGGCCACAGTCGCAATCCAGTTTATATATACCTGCATCTTGCAACGGGGTGTTACTTTTGATTGGTCTTAGGAATTGCTGAATCTTCTTGTGCGGCTTGAAAATTGTATTAATAGAAGCACGTTTTAGGATCCGGCTAATTCTATCTGTAACTCCCTTTATACAGTAGAACCTCTATAAGTCGAACATCAAGGGAGACGCCAAAAAATTCGAGTTATAGAGTTTTCAACTTATGGAGGATTTCGACTTAGGCGGATTTTGATTCGACATAAAGAGTTTGAGGTTTATTCTTATAAATTTTGAGTAGTTTACGTTTCACAGCACTCATGTTGACTGTTGTACTAATTGATGTGTATTGCAGTAGAACAAAACTACTTCTGACTGACAGTATTTAAGTCGAAAACAAATGACTGGCTTAGCTAAATTTCAAAGGGAATCAAAATTGAACACCTGACACAAAGCAAGCAAACACGTGTTTCCATGAGTCATAAATTTATTATTGTATACTCCTAAAATGTTTTCTAAGAAACAATAGTGTACTCACATTGTCGGCAAGTTCTTAAAGTCGGTAACTTATTTTTGTTCAAGTTGTAAAGGTTGTAAAATAAAACGTTCCTATGTTCGAGATACAGAGGTCAAATTTAATTTTTCGAGTTATAGAGTGAAAATATGTACCAAAATCGCTTGGAGGGACTCGGTGATTATTTCGATTAACAGAGGGTCAAGATTTCAAGTAATGGAGGTTTTGGTGTTTTAAGGGAAGGGAACAAAACATTTTTTCGAGATTTGGAGGTTTTTGACTTATCGAGGTTCAACGTAACGAGGTTCTACTGTATATGGAGAGTAGGCTGGCTGGCGGGGAACTGTTTGTGTGTTGTTTTTGTTTCTGTGTAGCACCTGTTTGATATGCTGTAGTTCCTCCTCGAGGTGGGCAGCACCACAAAGACGTTGGGCTCTCTGAAACAAACATTTACCGACAGAAAGCAGTTGTGAAGGGTGGTGGTGGGATTCACCATTGAGGTACCTATCTGTGTGGGTTGCCTTTCTGTGTATTGTGTGACCTAGTGTGCCATCTGCTTTGCGTATAATTAAAATGTCTAAAAAGGGCAGACAGTTGTTGTTCTCTTGATCAACAGTAAATTTAATGTTATTGTGTATTGAATTTAAATGTGCTAGAAATGCAGATATTTTGTCATTGGGGAGTACTAAAAACGTGTCATCGACATTTCTCTTGTACAGTCGAGGTTTAACAGGGGCATTGGCCAGAGCTCTCTCCTCAAAGTCCTCGATGAAGATGTCAGCCACTATAGGTGACACCGGAGAACTACTACTACGGAGGCTACTCCATCAACATGTCACCAGATAATGTACATATTGTAAAACACTGTCTCACATCAGGATACTTAATGTGGAAAGATGAGTTCTATGTGCAGGCAAAAACAAAATGTTAGCCCATATTTGGTTACCTACTCTCCTCTAATACAATAGGAACACGTACCTATAAATTAATTCAGAAAGACAATTAAACGGCAGGAAATTAGAAAAGATAGTAATTTTAATTATGAAATATATCTTTCTGTTGTTTTGTTAGAACAATTTAAATTGTTAATGTACGTGGTAATGTACGGGCTTATGTATACAACACATTTTGTATTGCGCCGTGAGCAATAAAGTATTAGGTATCTTTCTACACACTCCTTGTAGGTAAAACCTTGATCGCAACATATGCAACACCCAAAATATCCTTAATCAATTACATTCAAACAACAAAAAAGTAAAAGGATCCAACTTTATTATACGGCACATCTTCAGATAATTTTCAAAAAATTTTTTTTGTGAAATTGTATGTTTTGATCTTTTAAGAATTGGTACGCTCTATTCTTGAAGGACCCTAAGTCGAATTTGTTCGGAAATACTTCAGTGGGCAGCTGGTTCAACATAGTGATGATACGCAGCAGAAATTGTCTTAAGAAACGCGTAGTTGTGGATCTGTCGTTCCATGTCGTCAAGGTAATACGGATGGTATTTTGTATGCTGCCTTTACGTCCAATGATGAAACTCAGCTGCAAGTATTATCCGAACAACCCCACTGAACACTCTACCCACCTATGTGTAAGGTATACAAGGAGGTGCTACGGGTTCGATAAATAAAACTTTACCTCCTTTTGCATTGTAAATAATAATAAACACTTCGTGGTTGTCTGGTGGATATGCTTACAAGATGATTTCAAAGACAGTGTATATCTTTATATTATTTTATCGAAACAACATTTCTTTTATTATCTCGTATCAAGCATGTCTTTGTGAAATGGCATCAAATATAAGATAAGAATAGTTTGGAAAATCCAAAAGTGCACGCCTCATAGCGGTCATTCACATTTAAAAAAAAATCTAAAACAAAAAATCAAGTTTTTTAAAACAAAATAACAAAAAAAAATAAAAATAAAAAATAAATGAAAATGAATGATTGAAAAAAAACAATAATATAATAAAAAAATATATAGTGGCGCCATAACTCTAAGGTGAGGAAAAAAATATACTAAAATAAATGTATATATAGATATACAAATACACAGTCGTATTTTAGTTTTTTACAAATTATAATTAAACGACAGTACTTACAACGCTGATATTAACTAGGAATCAGCCCAGGGTATAACTTTATATAATAAGAAAAAAGTATTCTGGTACGATAAATTTTTCGACCAATTTCTCTGCCACATACATGGATCCATAAACACAGACTGACGGACGTCCAAGAATGATTGATTTTAATGTTATTATTTACTATGTTAAACAAAATAATTGTTCATAAAAAATACCATATCTGCTTGATATAAAATATACCACCATTTAAACATCTAATAATTGTTTTATCCTCATTGTGAACGCACTGTTACTTATGAAATTTGTATATAATTCGAGAATTTCTATAGTTCAAGCACATCCAGCAAAATGTCTTTGACGAACTACTTCCTCTTTGGTTTTGTGCTTTGCGGGGCTCTTGGTAAGCATTTGTCTTTTAATTAATATTTTAAATTATAAATTAAAACTACTACTTATAATATTTGAATCGCAAAATATGTTGCCAATTATTTTGGTAAATATTTATTCATCCCTTGATTTCTAGGAAGGTTAGGTATAGAGAGAAAAATAAGAACTAATCTAAATTTTTATTTCGGAAAGTCTCTATGGGGTTGCATATAAAAAATGTTATGTAGTTATATGTTAGTAAGAAGCTAATAAAAAGGTAGAATTAGTAAAAAATATATTGAAGCGAAACACAGATTGCTGGGGCAGCGAGTCAAAGTAATAATTATCAGTCATCTTCTGTGCCAGTTTTCACTTTATCATTACATCATCATGATTATACGATGTCTGTTGGTCACATCATGCTACAGTTATTGGCTCAGATCAAGCCGTCTATATATCCTTATAAAATAAGCTTTTCATATTAACGTTAAACAAATTAGTTTCGAGGAGAAAATGAAATTTTATGTTTATAATATAATTTTCACTATTTTCATTTGAAAGCCGCAAAAACATCAGAGAACGATGACCCCGAAGGCCGCGTCGTGGGTGGGACAGATGCACCAGAAGGGGCTATGCCACACCAAGTATCTCTAGAGCTCAAAGCAGGTCGTTCAGATCTAAACTTTCCATTCTGTGGTGGCGCCATCATTTCTGACAGATGGATCCTCACTGCAGCACATTGCATCCAAGAGTAAGCGTAGGATTCGATTATGAATATTTGGAAATATTTATATTAACTGTTTTAGTAAATTCTCGAATAAATATTGACTATTTTTCGAATTAAATTATTTCTATTGATGTAAAAATATTTTTCAGCTTATCGGCAAGATACTTAAGAGTTTTGGCAGGAACAAACAGCAAAAGTTCTGGAGGTACCAGATACAAAGTTGACAAAATTGTAAAACATGAAAAATATACCCCAAGACCGAATGTTAATGATATCGCTCTGTTGAGAACCACAGAGAAGATTAAATTTACAGACAAAGTTAAAGCTATCGAAATAGCCACGGAAGACCCCAAACCAGGAGACTTGTGCAAATTATCTGGATGGGGATTCACCGACGTAAGTATAATCTTAAAACATAATTTCTCTCTATACATGACGAAAAAAATTGAACCAAACGGCTTATATAACTGGATAAATAAACCTTTTATCATGGTAACTGCACAAACTTCGGGTCAAGGATTTATCTATTTCGATTTCTTAAAAGGTTGGCAACGCATCCGTGAGTGTCCATAGGTAGCGATATCACTTAACATAGGTGACCCTCCTGCCCGTTTTCCACCTATTATATAGAAAAAATATGATTTATTAAAGTTCAAATTGTAATAAATTAAATTTTTCCAGCAAAATGAAAGAAACAGTCCCGACAAATTGCAGTGGTTGGACGTAAAAATTATATCCGAGAAAGACTGTAAAACTGATTATTTAAAACGCTATGAACAGAGTTACCCTGTTACTGAAAACCACATATGTACCCTTAACAAGGACGGCGAAGGTACTTGCCACGTAAGTAATTATTGTTATCAGGTCCCGCAAAGTCGTGCAAGCAAGACTAAAATCCTATTCGACTCTATAACATTGTATATTTGAAATAATTTGTATTTTCGGTCCTAAATTCTAAATTCACTGCATAAATATACCAAGTCAGTCTATTTACAGTCAAAATCTGTTGTAACGACAGCGAAGGTACTACTCATATTTGGTCGTAAAAACCGATAGTCGTAACAGCCGATGACGTTATTAAGAAAATAATACAATATAATTCAGCCTTTGATTTTGGTCAATGTAACCGGTGTGTTGTTCTAAACGATGTCGTCGTAAACGGTTTTCATATGATATGGTCACTATAAGATGTTGTTTTTTTTTGGACAATTCACACCAATTGACCTAGTCCTATGCTATGCTGGTGAAGCTTGTGTTATGGGTACTAGGCAACGGATATACATACATATTATAGATAGATATACATATAAATACATATTTAAACAACCAAGACCTAAGCACAACACCAAATGATCATCACATCGATGTGGTACTAACCACTAGACGAATGAGCCGTCCAAGGTTAAGTTAGCTAATTACGTAAAAACTTTAGACAAAATGTGCTTTAAGTAGGGGCTGATTTAATAACTCGGTATTACTTCTCACAATTTTACAGGACTGTTTTTGTTTTGTTTGTTTCCAAGTTAAGTTTTTCTTGGCATATTTATTTTTATCAGTCCATTTTTAGACATGTAGACATGTCTTATATGAATAAACCTTTTCGTGTAACATAAATGTTATATACATGTTTCATCTTAACAGAGTCGGATGTATATCTTGGTTCGATTCCTTACCCTACAATGGACTTTATGTCTATGCGCGCATTTAAGACTCGCTCGTACTGTGTTTGAAATCATTTCAGGCTCCGGTTGATCACTGACTTACCTATTTGAAGTGATAACGGAACAGATACAAAAATCTGAGGCCCAGACCGAAAAAGTTGTAGGGCCATATATATCTATATATATATATGTATATTACGCCGGCTTTTTCTCTCGGCTACACCCTCTGTCTTCTTTGCGAATGAGGGATGTCTACCGATACAAATTTAATGACGTAATGAATAAGTGACACCTGTATCTTATAAACCATAATAAACATAATTTTTTTATGTAACTCAGAGATAATATTTCAAGGACAATCTGGAAATCAGACCATTCGTTGTAATGTTTGAAATTTCCACGTTTCAACAAAGATCTTACTGAATGTGATTTCAGGGTGATTCTGGTGGATCCTTGGTGTGCAACAACAAATCTTATGGTATCGTCTCATGGAACATTCCGAGTGCTCGTGGACAACCTGATATCTACACGAGAACCACCAAGTACTTCAAGTGGATTGAGGACAAAATGGAGGCTAACAAGCCCTAATTAGGTCACGACAATTGATGCTTTAGAATAATTTCTTATTATCAATAAATGCACCATCAAATAAATAATTTTTCATTTCAAATGCGAGTACATCTTTTATATTATTATATAGGTACTATTCTTTAGGCTTTACAAAGGTTTCAGTTAAAGTAGGAGTACCTAAGCTAATATATTTTTATTTAATACGTGTGTCGTTACTAATTCACGTTCCATGAACAAGCCTATGTTCGCGGGCTCCAGCAGTATTTTTTATTAATGTGGCGGACGATTATATTCAATTAACTGTGGAACTTGTCAATTCAATATATATTATATGTGTCGCAGCCAACTAAATTAAACAGCCGTTCAATTAACAGCCTAGCCGTTTAACTAAACGGCGCCATTTAAATAACGGCCTGAAAGATGTTCAGCCAGTTGATTAAACGGCTAGGCTGTGTGATCAAATGACTTGGATCGATAACGTTAAATTACTTGCCTAGCTTGTTAATTAAAAATTAGTTCCACTTTTTGCCATCTAGAAGCTAGCGTCAAAACTCTTCAAACTGTCAAACGGCTAGGCAGTTAATTGAAGGGCTGATTAAGCAAGTGAAAAGGTAGTTTCGTGTGGAGAAGAATGGGCAGGAAACTCCACACTTACTCTTTTAAATTAGGTTTTAAAAAAAATTATTTATTTAACTTTGACTAATATGAAAGATGGTTGAGCTATTTTATCTTAATTTCTAGTACTAAAATCATGTCTATCTCTGTTATTATACTAAAAAGATGTAGATTCTTTCTTACATACATAATATTTTCATAAATGATTTGGCAAGGTACTGTCATAATAATCTTTTTAATTAGTTCCCTGAGAGATCCGCGACGACGTAGATTATAAATGGCTCTGACAGCTCTCTTAATTGCAAAATAAAAATGGATTCAATGTCACCAGCCCGACCCCACAGTAAAATGCCATACGGAATTATTCTGTGAAAGTGGCTAAAATATATCAATTTAACCATTTTGTTTAAATATTTTGACTGGCATAAAAATAATATTAAAGGAATGGTGTAATCATGCGAAATACATATAAGGTGGAGGGGGATATTTCATGATTTCTGCCGAACGCCTCCCCCCTTTCGAACCTCACGTGATTAATGGACATCCCCTAAGCGCATAAGCGGCTGAGCTCAGCTGCCCCCCAAGAGATGCTATATGAGGACCCCATTGTAACTTCTCGTCTAGCATAATGCCTAGGAAAACGGTTTGACATGATTCAACATGATGTCATATGCCCTACTTTTAACATTTGGTTACTTCACAATTCCATGATTTCTTACCTCTGTTCCTTCCGTTCTTTATAATAATAATAATAATAATAAAAGCCCTTTATTCACTGACCCTTTAAACTGACATGCTACTCTTATTTAACAGTAGTATCTTAAATCTAAGTTATATAGCGAAAATAATAATTTATTAGCAACCACTTTGGTCAGGTTGTCTGTCGACATAGGCGACATAGGCCTCTCCCAATTGTTTCCACGTCTCTCTATCCTTGGCAGACCTTCTCCATCCTTTTGGTAGATCGTCCTCCCATCTTTTAATTTGACCACCATTCTATGATCTTAGCGTTAAAGTCTCCCATGATAATTATGTTGTTCTTTTGCATTAATTCTGACATGTCTTGAATTAATGCATTTCGTTAATTTTTCATCTTGTTCTGGGGTGCATGTATGTACTTGAATAATGGACCATGGTTATTTAGATTCTGTTAATTGAATATTGACTACGGCGATTCCATCTGATATTCCTTGGAAGATAATTATTTTATCTTTTAAATATTTTTTTTAATAAATCTCATTCCATATATCCCTTTTTGTTTTCCATAAGAATAAAAAAAGGGTGCGTGTATGTACGCACGTAAGAAGTTATACATCTTTGGCATTATTAAAAATAGTTTTGATTGCATGCAACAAAGACTGGAAAAGGAGTCATTATAGTCAATAGAGTTCAGTTTACATTTGAAAAAATAAATATTTATTAATTTTATATTTATTATTATTTTCTAATATTAATTAGTATTGATTTAAATATTCAATTTAAATCACTTCTGATTATAAATCAGACGCACATATAAAAATCGCACTTGTAGAACCTCTATAAGTCGAACATCAAGGGAGACGCCAAAAAATTCGAGTTATAGAGTTTTCAACTTATGGAGGATTTCGACTTAGGCGGATTTTGATTCGACATAAAGAGTTTGAGGTTTATTCTTATAAATTTTGAGTTAGAGAGGTAAAATAAATAAAAATTCAACTTGCAGAGGTGACAAACATATTTTTATTTATTATAAATCAACATTATTTCAAATCATTTTAAAATAAAAAATATGGCATTAATAAAAGTCAGTAATTTTTTTTTGCTTTAGATAATTTGGTTGTTCTCTATCTATAGCATTGTCTAATCTATAAAGAGCAGAAAATTCTTCTTCAGAGTTACTGGTTTGCTCTACAAAATTACGTAAGGTATTCAATGCGGTTCGCGCCTCTTTGATGAAAACCCATGGAGCGCATGTACTATTCACGTCTTCTATGTCATCTAAATCATTAGTATCGGTTTTCTGAGCTACTGAATCGATAATTTCGTCATCAGATAATGTCCCAGCAGTCATAACTCCATCATCGCACGAAACAAAGTCCTCAAAGGACTTTAAGTCGAAAACAAATGACTGGCTTAGCTAAATTTCAAAGGGAATCAAAATTGAACACCTGACACAAAGCAAGCAAACACGTGTTTCCATGAGTCATAAATTTATTATTGTATACTCCTAAAATGTTTTCTAAGAAACAATAGTGTACTCACATTGTCGGCAAGTTCTTAAAGTCGGTAACTTATTTTTGTTCGAACAATAGAGATAATAAATTCCAAATGATCAAGTTGTAAAGGTTGTAAAATAAAACGTTCCTATGTTCGAGATACAGAGGTCAAATTTAATTTTTCGAGTTATAGAGTGAAAATATGTACCAAAATGGCTTGGAGGGACTCGCTGATTATTTCGATTAACAGAGGGTCAAGATTTCAAGTAATGGAGGTTTTGGTGTTTAAAGGGAAGGGAACAAAACATTTTTTCGAGATTTGGAGGTTTTTGACTTATCGAGGTTCGACTTAACGAGGTTCTACTGTAATGAAAACAAAATGAAAACACGTGTTTTAAATGTAGAAACTCAAAGCATGTGAATAAATATTATTGTACAGCTTGCTAGTTAGTGGACTGTAAAAGTGTGTTTAAAATTTATATGTATTTAATGTCAGGAGTATCTGATTAGTATAATATGTAATGTATGTGTGAGCAAGCTGCACTAGATGACTAAATATATGAGAGGGTGAGACGTAAGAACCTAACAACCCTACGGATCCCTAAGCCCTACAGACGTACCCTAACACATAAATAGTGAATATATAAATAAGTACGGGATGTCTGCACCAAGAGACCTAAGGTAACAGACGGAGCCCTACGGGTAGGATCAAAGGTGGGATTATCTCAAAGCTACCGGGCAGGCTCACCACGATAATTAAGGGCTTGGAGTAGTCTTCGCCACTTTGAGAGGAAGCGAGAAATGAACAAGACAGAGCAATATTCAAATCTGATTTATTATTCTAAGACATTATTTTACATACTAATTACACCAATTCACACATACATGATATTTTTCTAGTGAGCTGTTGGTGTATCGCGCAACCTCAGCTATTATTATTTGGAACACATATGAGCCGTGTCAACAGCTGATCAATATTTAAATAAAATATAATTAAAATTGCTATTCAGCTGCATAATTTAGCACACACCGGATCCATGTCAGTAGTTTGTTGATGTTCAAATGATGAAATCTGAACAATTATAAATATAAATACACAGTGAACAGAGGCGGCGTGCGTGCCAACATGCGCCACTAACTTCATTCTGTTAATTTTGTGTCACGGTGCGCATCGTAAAATTGCACTCTCATAAATTTTTCATAACGCGCCTAAAGAAGTATAACTTCAAAAATGTATTTCTCGTATTCTCTTATCTCTTCTTCTATTCTTATTACTTCACAAACACTTATGACATCCCATTTTATAGTTGTTATAGCTTCATCCTTCCGACCGGAGCAGTGGAGAAACGGCCTAAGTCGTATCAGTTTTTGCAATTATGTTTTGCAATTTGTAAATATTGTGATATTATTTAAACTTGAAACAGTAGGTTAGATACGCGTTCCTATAATGCCTGGTTAGCGCAAACTATACGCTTTGAAGAGGATCAAGGCCTCTGTAACGCCATTGTATATAATGTTTTATTTATCCCTCGAATATACTTGATATGCGAAGGCATTGTACAAAGATTAATGATTGAGAATAAAGGTTTATTTTGAAGATAATTCTTTTATTTCTATTTCCCTGTAGAACTCTAGTAGTAGATCTAGTGGTTTTTTTTATTTATTAAGGAAACTAAACAGATATATACTATACAGTAAAAGGGTGTGTGTACTTATGTACGCGCGTAAGAAGTTATACTTCTTTGGCATTATTAATAGTACATACGGATGGTTAACCTCAATTGTATTGAAGCACTTAGGAAGGTTGATGAGCACAGTTTTTTCACAAATATTTTCTAATATTAATTGGTAATGATTTAAATATTCAATTTAAATCACTTCTGATTATTATTCAGACGCACATATAAAATTCACACTTGTGTAATGAAAACACGTGTTTTAAATGTAGAAACTCAAAGCATGTGGATAAATATTATAAATATAAATACACAGTGAACAGAGGCGGCGTGCGTGCCAACATGCGCCGCTAACAGAGGTTCCATTTCTGTTTTGCTGGTAGCATTTTTTCCTCAACTTGATGAGCGATTTAGTGGGCAACTTCATTCTGTCCTCTGCGCTGAAACAGCCTCTGCACAGGGTGGCGAGATTATTAATGCCAGATTTGGTCCCAACAAAAAACCCACTTCTACCTTTTTTGTAAATATGCTT